AGAAAGTTCCACAGCGCTGGTCATTCTGCCAGAGACCATTATATATTTTCTTAAGTATCTGATTGTCCTTATTTTAACATGTTGGAGATCATAAAATAAAAATTTAAATATAGTAGATCTCAGTCAAAGTCTCTTATTAAAAATGTTGTAACCTATTCCTTTAAGTCTCTTTTGTGGAGGCCCCGGGGCTGTGGTTGCCCTTCGCCCTCCGCCTAAATCCGGCCGAGATTACTAGAACTATATCCATAGATATGATATCAGCACTGTATGATGACACGGTCAATTGACAGCGGGATTCTAAATACGAGATAAGTGTCTTGGTTTTTTTAATTGTTTATTAAAACCTTATCTTTTGCGATACCCCAGAAATTCTTATATCTAACATACATATTTTCATATACTGTTCGTATGTTATTTTACTTAAACTTTTAAATTGACATATTAAAATATTATAGATTATTCTCTTGTATGCAATGTAATTTTTGATCGAATTTTTAGCGTCATATTATGTACAAAACACGGATAGGGAAAAAATAAGGACGGATGTAGAAATTGTGCCTCGGGGGACGGTGTGGGAGGGGTTACAGAGGCAATGTTTAGTAATATGTGTCTAAAATGTACTAGTGAAATTGGTCTGGATTTTAAACAGAATCTGTAAATTTAAAAGCTATTTTGTAAGGTCAATTAAGAATTTGTGATACCACACCCAAGGACTCATGACCCCCTGGGAATTTTTCCAAATTTCCAAATTCGGTATTCCAAATAAACAACATACCTTCCTAACATAAAATTTTATGTCACATTTTTAACCACAAATAGCGTTTATATTCATTATGGCGCTTCTAAACGGGCCATGTTTTGCTGCAATAGATGGCTTCAACACTGTGGCCCGGCAACATTGCAAACAATAGCAGCCACACTATGCAATATTGCAGTAATTTCCCGGCCATATAGCCAAACATGTTTTGTATTGCCACATATGGCCGATGTTGTCCCGAAGGGTTGCCGGACGATCGCTAAGCTATCGAATTCAACTGCAATATTGCACAGCCAGTTCTATTGTTGTTTCAGTAACTCTCTTTGTTATGGCAGTGTATCCTTTTCTACGCGACATGACGTTTGCTATGAGTCAAGTGTGCCTGTTGCTATATTCTGTGTTTTAATTCCTTTAAACTTTGCTAATAGAAATTATCCCCATTGAAATCAATTGAAATGCCATTAATTCAGCACCCAAAACACCACCTCAGTTGTTTTTGAATAAAAAAATGATTTCACGCTTTAATTCAATAGACATCTGTTTTCACAGCGGAGGTCGCTTATCAGAATGCCAAATCGTAAAATTACTGCTTCACGACTGATTTTAGTAACTCACTTTTTGAACTCTCACAGCGGTTTTTGCAGCGGCGGTAGCGCTAAAATCAGTCGTGCAGCAGTCATTTTATGATTAGGCGTTCCGATAAGTGACCTCCGCTGTGAGAGTTCGAAAAGTGAGTTACAGAATCGCAAGGCTGCGGACCAATGGCTATAAAATAAATGTGATAATGTTTTGTAAATGTACAAAAAGCAAAAATCGCGAATCCAACTAATCAAAAATGCTTCGAAAGCAAACAAGCAAACAGATTGATGTCCAGTCTGAGGTGGGAGAAACTATTAGTGTGTTGAGTAGTATGATTCCTCGTATCACAAATCTTGCTCTAAAAGCAAAATATCTCAAAACACTTGTATATCGAGGTATTATTGTTATTAATATTTAAACCAAGGAGCCGAAGCTAGTATATATTTGTATAAGATCACATTTAGATATAAAATAGTTTGCGTTTGTATTTTGATTGAAGTGGACCTGTGCGTGATTTAATTAAAATGAAGTGAGTATTTTTTTAACAGTAGATTATCAGTTTTAGTCTTTACTAAAGTGATTTGGGAACAGTTTACTGAGGGTTCAAATCCCTGTGCAATAGATTTGTCTATGTTCTCGTAATGTGTAATCGTCGTGAAACCTGTCTAGGGAAAATCTAAAAAGTTTTTTAATTACGGGTCAATACTAAGCATTAAGTTACCTTATACCATAGTGAATAATTTCGTGTTAAAAAATTCTCAAAAAGGTGTATTTATAACGTAGGGGTAAAATATAGTTTGAAATTGAGCCCTACCGGACGTACATAATAATCGACCAAGCCGTTTCGGGGGAGTTACAACGTGAATTTTATATATAGATATACAAGTATGTTCGTCTGTGACTAGCTGATTTCCCCATAATTTTTACCTTCACCTTGTTGGACTATGTTTTTGACTTATCACAAAAAAACGCGAATCCTTTTTAGCCCCAGATCTCTTGGCGAACCCCGAGTCTATAACATCGATAATTTTAAATATGTGTGAGGACTACCAGAGGACTTTGAGTTGGCCCATCGCGTCAAGTCTGACATGGCCGCACCTTTTCACCTTACAAAATAGTGTATATATACTTAATAAATTTATGTATGTTTTTCGTTTCAGAGTACATCTGTTTCTGGCTCTCCTGATTGAGACCTGTTACGCTAACAATGGCGGTAATTTTTTTTAACTAGACATGAGACATCTCAAAACCCATTTCACTTTATATATTTGCAAACATCACCCGGGCAGAATTATTTTTTACATTATAACTTTTATGCTTCGATTTATATATTGATATAATATATTTGAGAATGGATCCGAAACGTATTGATAGAAACATTCGTATGTCACAGTTTTTCTGCTGGACTTATAGTAAATAAAATAAATAAGTATCCTATTGGATACATATTATTACTGAATATCTTTCAGACTGCTAGTTAAAAGGCTAGGCTGTTAATTAAACAGCTTATTAAGCTAGTTGGCTGCAACATATATATTAGCAAAAATATACATAAATAAAAAATATCTATAGATAATTTTTTTTCCAGTGTGCGACATGTCAAACGGTTCAATAGGGAAATGTGTAAAACCAGGACAATGTAAGGCACCGGACCTTGCTAACTTGAATGTTTACAGGCACGTATATTTAATTTATTATTCTAAGATTAGTTTTGACTGTAATTAAAAAGCCCACTTAGGGAAAGACTCGAGTCGAGACTTAGGTACAATCATGCATCTCATGATGTCCCAGATTTCCCAAAAAAACAATGTTTAATATAAATTAATAAAAAAACAGCCTTTTATTTCAAGCATTATGTTGTTATGTGTCAACGATAAAAATTAATTTAAACAATAAGAGTCAATAATTTTAAGTTTTTTTAATTGAGATTATCAATTTCATGTCAGTTTAAGTCTAATTACTGTGCTTTTCTCGCATGGACCGCCGATGGTGGAGTCCTCCAAGCGTTTCCATTCCTATCTATTTTCCGCTTTTTTCAACGTATCCATTCCTTCTATTGATTTATTATCGTCTAAGAATTTTCTTTTACCCTTCCATGCCATGTTATGATGCGATATATCCATCAGTCCGTCTCTTAGTATCTTGGATCTGTTTTAAAAACTATACAGATATGCAAAAATTTTTGAATCATTATGTACAACAAAGCTACCAAAAACACTCCTATTGCCAATAAAATATTCCTTAATAGTTGAAACGGCTCTCAACTAAACCGCTCGCAAACATGACTATATTTTGAATTCTCATCATATATCAATTATATTTTAAATCACGTTACACGTAAATTTAAAGTTATTGTAAAAATAATTTTACACAGCTGATCATAAACCGCCATCTTGAATACTCTATGTGTACTGACACACAAGATGGCTGTCTTTACTCAAAATGGCGATTCTTATGATGAAATCAATAGTGAACACTATAATTGTCAAAATACAAAATTAACTTTAATGATGGTTTTTAATTACTCTCAACGCTTAATTCAGTTCGGTTAAAACAATATTTGTTTATGGTAAATTATTAGGACCTTTTGTAAATTGTCAGTGTCTGATAGTGATGCATATAATCTGTTTTCAATGTTTCATTTCGACTTTCAGGACAATACAAATGGTGTGCCCAACGGGAGAAGAATGCTGTGATTTTACAGATGTAATCCAATCTTCTAATTCACCCATTACCATTAATAACTATGTAAGAACATCAAATACTAATGTGAATATAACTTATAATAATTTCAATTTTACTAACAATTTTCTACCTCCCTGGTATACCTAAAATCTGCGGCTGTAATGTTATTCTGATTAAAGATATACACAACTTGATAGAATGTATAGCCACTGATGCTTTCGAGTCAAGACTGGTCGAGGATCCTTCCATTCACTTTATATTAAGATTCTCCAATGGCAACATCTTAAAGTTTTTCGTATGTTAGCAACTCTTTTTTCGACATGCCACTGGCGAAAAGTAGAATACACACGAAAACATACTAACTACGGACAGCATCATAAGTCTATAAGACTGCTAAAAGGTACCAATGGAAGGTTGATGGTGAGTTGGCTGGTTATGTAAAGCAAGCAGGAAAGCTGGTGGAATTAATGGTTCGAAATGCAGGCCACATGGTGCCTGGAGATCAACCAAAATGGGCTCTTGATATGATCACTCATCTCACTCATGAAAAGATGTTTACTAAGAATACTCTGTAAATAATAGTTATTTTTCATTCTTGTCAAAGAAGATTATTGTTTTAAAAATAAATGGTTTATGTAGAAGTATTTGTAATTAGTTAACTGCCTTTGTTTTAAAATTTTGATAAAAAAACCTAAGAACAAAACATTTTTTACTAATCCTTAAAATTAAGATTTCATTTTCCCAAGCACCACCTTAGCTTAAATCAGTCTAAGCTATGCTTTAATAATATTATTTATATTTTTTCCAGTGGTAGTGTTAAACTCAGACTATTGTGTTAGAAAGTAATTTTCAATTAATTTAACAACATGACTAAAAGAAAACAGAAGCAAAATACCAAATGTCAATTTGTTTATTGTTGATCATCAAACGTTTTATAACTAGTCTTAGAATTACTTAAATTAATGCTGGATGTTGTAATTTATCGTCCCTCTATGTAAGTTGACAGTTCTATCTCCTCTGGTAATTCGGTGATATTAACATCAAAACGATCTTGAACTACATTAAGGATCTTTGCATCATTTTCATCAGAAACCATAGTTATTGCCAAGCCTTTTGTACCAAATCGACCAGCCCTTGCGACTCTGTGTTGGTAAGTATCAGAATCACTAATATCCTTTTCTGGAAGTCTTTCAATTGCTGGTAGCGAGAGAGACGTTCATCTTGAGACATGTTTCTGTGAATTCCAATAGCTGGGAAATTTTGGTCAGTTAGCAACTGCGCTAATGCAATACATCTTTGTACAGATTTAACAAAAATTACTACTTGATTAAACTCTAAAACATCAAGTAATTCAAAAAGTTTCTTGTTCTTCTCATTCTCCTTAAGTTTGACATAATGTTGCTGAAGCCCATGCAGTGTGAGTTTAGCCTTATCATCAACATACACTTCCATAGGATCCTGCATGAATTTCTTGCACACAGGGCGAATCTCTTTACTTAGAGTAGCTGAAAACATCATAACTTGCTTTCCATGAGGAGTATTTCTAAATATCTCCTGAACATCTCGTCGCATGTCAAGAGACTCCAACATCTTATCACATTCATCAAGAATGAAATGTTTCAAATGCTTTAAATTCAGCTTCTTGCTATTGACTAAAGCAAGGATTCGTCCAGGAGTTCCCACAACTATATGAGGGCAAGCAGTTTTAAGCACTTCTTTATCTTTTGAATTGGCATACCACCAAAAAATACTGACACTTTAACTCCAGCCATGTATTTTGAGAAACGTTCATACTCTTTGCTGATCTGGAATGCCAGCTCCCTGGTGTGACACATAACGAGAACATAAACATGATTCTCTGATGGTTCGAGTTGTTGCAGCGTTGCCAATACAAACACAGCCGTTTTGCCCATACCGGATTTCGCTTGGCACAAGATGTCCATACCAATAACGGCCTGGGGAATACACTCATGTTGCACTTCAGACGGATGTTCAAATCCGCAATCTACTATAGCTCGTAAAATTTCCGGTTTGAGCAGGAAATCTCTGAAGCCAGAGCTGTAAATAGATACATAGGACCCTTTAACCCCTTTTTTTGGCGTCGCTTCGGTTGCTCCGTCGGCTGTTTGCTGATCTGCCTGCTCTTCGTCTTCGTAGTCGAGAAGATCGTCGTTATCTGCCATATCTTAGGGTTGGAATATAATACCAACACGAAATAAACAATACAATTTCGTATTAACACGTGAAATGAGAAAACAATTCTATTTCACAATAATGGCGTCGGTTAAATTAAGAACGCAAGCCGCAAGGCTTTAGGCTATGCTTGGAAGTTGGAACCATAGACTCCAAACAACCGTTGACATAAACTATAAAACGTACAGATGAAATATACGACATTCTATTGTCATTATACACTGCGAAAAGGATAAATCATTGTTTTTGATTGATTGATAAAATTTATAGCCCTCTTTTAAAGGCTTGTTTTCTGAAAATAGTTTGACTCTTTTTTCAACAGTACAATTTCATTTGACAAAAGATAAACATTTAAGTTTATGCTTCCAAATAATAAAAAACTTCTTTAAAGTTTAGGTTCGTATCAGAACCGACATTTTATGTAACGAGATTTGTGAAAAATCGAGATATATTTAGGTATTTTTAGACCTCTCTTTAAAATATGATGTCATAGGGAAAACATGTTCTATTCTAAAATACGCGAACTTCTCTATTTCTAACTTTTTTTATTAATTTCTTGATGAATAACAAAAACCTTACATTGATTTATTAATATTGTAATATACTATAAACATCATGAATCTTCTTCATTCTTTTCATAACATATGAGAAAATCTTATACAAAGATCGTATTAGACTAGACCAGGGGTTAGCAACATTTTTAATCAACGGGCCAATTTAAAAAAAAATTGGCGGGCCGCACATAAAATATCAATTAATTATAATTTACAAAACTTTACTTTTTAAATTATAATTAATTCGTTGATGTCTATGTTAACGTAAAATTGTAAAAACCGTTAGATTGTAATCTATCTCGCGAGATTATAAACTGTCGAAAGATTGTGAACTTAGCGTACTGCGTACAATTTAACGTATTATTATTCGGTAGATTGTAATCTATCGAAGTGAAACCGTCAAATTGTGAACGGCCATTTTCTACTTTTCTATTGGTTATAAGAGATGTGACATTCTTGTTTTCTATTGGTTATAAGTGATGTGATATTTTCGGTCAATTAATCCAATCGATTATTTTCCTCATTTGTTAATTTTAAAGTTAAACCTAATTTAACCATTACTTGTCAAATGTACATACATTACATTAACTTCATGTTTCAATTAGTGTAGGGTTCCGAAAATTTTGAAATTATTCAAAAACGAGAATGTCACATCTCTTATAACCAATAGAAAAGTAGAATGTGGCCGTTTCACAATTTGACGGTTTCACTTCGATAGATTACAATCTACCGAATAATAATACGTTAAATTGTAAGCAGTTCGTTGAGGTTCACAATCTTTCGACAGTTTACAATCTCGCGAGATAAATTACAATCTAACGGTGTTTACAATTTTACGATACAGCAGTATCGTTCAACCTAGATAAATTACTTAGCTATGATTGTATCTCAAGTACACTTATTAAGAACCTCAAAATTCCAAATTTAAACAAAATTAAAAGCTTCAAGAATGAAACTAAAAGTGGAAGTTGAACCGGAGATAAACACTACCAAATAGTCCTTTATCCTTTTTGGCAGCCCTGATTTTATCATATCTAATCACCCTTCTTTCGTAACTATTTACCCCTTTGCTGCATCTATTAACCATATTCGCGTGCTCATTAAACCCTCAGGTGTGTCTATTCACCCCCTTCGCGTGTCTTTTGACCTCAAAAAAATTAAAGTAAACTAGACTTACAAAATAAGTCTAATTAATTATAATAATGTATATTCTTACCTCAACAATTACAGCACAATATATTTACGATAACACTGACTGTAATTAGAAGATATTTATTGACTTCTATCGCCAAAATTCTCTAAATTACGAAAGTTCAAACTCACTTGCACTTTAACGACTTTTTTTTGGTCAACTTTGAAATTTAGTTTCGACGTTTTTAGCGAAGTTACCATATATAAAATGTTGCCAGACCAAGGAAAATAAAACTACCAAATGACTAAAGATACGGTTTTGTTTACTGGTATCACTCAGTTATATGAATTAAGGTTTAAAATGATGCCAAGTTTTTTTCTCTATTCCCCCCGTGAGTTCTATTCACCCCGTTTAACGGTATTATATAAATATAATTTCTCTATCCTCAATTTTTTTATATATCCACAGGTTTATAGAATACCAACAAATAGAGTCTATCCGGAAAGAGAACCATAGCGGTTATGCGAACCAATATAATATATAATTCTTATTTGCTATGCGTCATTACATTTATTTACAAAAATTATAGACTTTGAATTTTTTATCATATTAACTATTAATTGATTACGGTCTAAGTATAATGCGTAGATAATAATTTTACTAAAACATAACGTAAAAAAAAACAATGGTAACTTACCACTGCTGCGACATCAAATCCCACGCAGGTTTTCTTTCCGCACAAACTCTATATATAATTATAATTTCTTTAACAGGTATGAAAATAGTCCAGATAAATCTCAGTTATAGTAATAAAGAATTTATTTAAACTTAAGAGACAGTGGCGGGCCTGTAACCAATATTGACACAGACGCCAAGCCTACTGCGGTTGGTATTGTGAGCTTTTAGTCCGGTCAATTTTGAAACAACATTTGAAATAACAAAAATTCCCGGAAAGCTAAATTTTGGTGGAGAGCTGGGGTTTACCATTACAATTAAAGTTTTAAAAATCCCCATCGATTATATGTGTGCTACAAAAGTTATTCGGGGTCAAAGATCAAATATGATTTTTTCTCGAAAACGGTATTATCAAAAAAAAAAAAGTTCCAAGCTAAAGTTGTAGATCCTTAAATTCTATACAAAAATGGTCTTTACAATTTTTTCCTAAGAGTTACTATTTCTGAAATATCGTGATGACTATCGTGCTCATATAAGCCACGTATATACATAATCAGGCACTTAGACAAGTATAAATACCTATTTGTGTCTCTTTTATAGATATTACGCCCCCTGTTCAACTCTAAGATGCCGATCCAGCGGAACGTAGCCCTATTCAAAATCTACGTCCGCCCTCATTTGACCTATGCGACCCCGGCCTGGTAAGCACTCGCCTCAGACTCACAAAAGAAGCGCCTGCACGCGATCCAAAACAAGACCCTAAGGCGGATCGTCGACGCCCCGTGGTGCGTACGCCAGGGACCTCCACATAGAGGACTTAGCTACCCACAGTTCAAGGGGCATGTTTGACATCGCGCCGCATCACACCCGACTACCTGAGCACAAGCGCCGCTTCCCGCGGGAGAATCTTAGCTGTTAGCACGGAACCGCAGGCTACCACATCTGGCACTTAAACGCTTGATCAACCCACTCAACCGGTTGTCAAAATTAATAGATACCGGACCAACCTGGGCCTCCCCCAATCCAATCACCTCCTCATCTTAATGAGGTGCGAAAATAATGAAACCCTGCGAAAGGAGGAAACTCCCACGCGGTACCCGGCGCGTTCATCGACGCGGAAAAGAACGCCTCCACGAATTTATAGATATTATACTATTTGACGGCTACAGTGGTCAGTGAAAGTACATAATATATTAAAGCTGCAGAACAACGTCGTCGAACTACAAAAAGATCATCGGGTTCCGAGATTATATTTGATGAATTTATGTCAGTTCCAGCGAATCAACAACAATTTTTCGCTAACATTAATAATAAATCTCGTTTCATTTCCATGTTAAGTCATAAGTGACAAATTAACAGCTGCTAATATTGCAGTGAAACAAGCTCAATATGACGCAGATATCCTCATAATTGAAACAGCAATAGAAAAATTTAATGCAACAAACACAACAATCGTAGTTGGTGAAGGTACACTGATATCGACTTTGGAAAAATTTCGATAACACATTCAAGGAGGGATCAGGCTATGTTCACATGTAACGCATAACATGTAACGCGCGTCAACGCGCGATCAAATTTGAAGAGAGTTCAGATGATGAGAGCTAATGCGCGTTGCGAGAGTACTCGTCAGTCTAGTTCGGGAGAACGTAGAAAATGGACGTGGAAGAGGGTATTATCTTGTGGTTATATTATAAAGAAAAATATAGAAAAAGAAAACGTACACATTAGGTTCATCCAATTTTTAAAAATAGACCCAGTTTGTTATAAATATAATTACGAAAATTAACAAAATTACATGCGATCGCGATGAAAGCGCGCGCTCAACTGAACAGTGAACAGCATACGGACATTACCATAATATCAAAGCGCGCGTCAACGCGCGATCACCTGCGTCTAGAGACTTTTTCTGTACAGTTGTATGAAAATACCACAATATCTAGTCGCGCGATTTGAAAACGCGCGTCAAGTTTTTGCCATCTGAACATAGCCTTATACAACAGTTATTAATCTTGATAGTAAGTTAAACCAAGCTGTTTTATTGAAGTTCTCAGTCGGTTTTTAATATTCTTCTATGAACAAATTAAGAGGTTGTGTTTTGATAACTAAACATTAGTAATAATTGATTCAAAAATTGTTATGTCGACCATTTATTTAAATAAAACCTAAGTGCCTGACGGCTGCTATAAATTAAAAAAGAATTTAATATCTGATGAACTAATCCTAATCACTAAAATAATTCTGTAATCTTAATCACTCAAGTGGTTGAAGTGATTACTATGTAACCAACAAAAACAACTTTAATAAGTAGTACATATTGAAAACAGTTTGTTGTTTATTTATCATATTCAAAATGTAGATGAATGTGTTGTTATTAATTGTATTTATTGATATTTTCTGCGTGATACGTGAAATAAAAAACGTTCAATATTTAATTTTTTATTTCGTAGTTTTCATTAACGGCATTAATTAAGGAGTATTAATTTAATGTTTTAATACCTAATATACACTTGACATAGATAATAGAGAAACGCACATATTAGTAACATGCTTTGCGGTGGTTGCAACCGGTAAAGCTAAAGATTATATATCTTAAAGTTAATATGAATAATCCAAGTTCTACAAAAATCTA